GAAAAAGTTTTATCCTGGTATTCCAGAAACCATTCTTGTTTTTTTTTTTTTTTGCCAAGTATAGTGAGGCTAGTGTATTGTGGCATTATTCTCCTGCAACGTGTGCTTCACTTTAGGGTGCACATGGTTCCTTAAAATGACTTCATATTCTATGGCCACTAAATAAGCAATCAGGTCATTCATTATACTTAATGACTACTACACAATAAGTATCCATGCTATTACAGATCCCTCACCACGTTTAATGGCTAGCAACATAGCAACAAAGGTTGCTGAAGGCATCATTGGGCTTTCTATAGACATAAAACCTGTTTGGATTAGCAAAAGATGATTTATCAGATTAAATTACTATATACCATTATTCAGTGGTTTGGGCTTTGTATTTCATATCTCAGGTTTGGTTTCCAAATGCCAGTCCTGTCATAATGTCAGTCTTATGAAGCTTATGACATATAGTTTATTGCTGAGATAAGTCACAGAAGCGCTGAACCAATTAGAAAACAAAAATAAAGAAGAATGGCCTTGTGCAATATCCTTAATCAAACTTTAATAAAAATGTTCTCTTATATTCACAAAGGTGCTTGTCGAAAAATGCATAAACCATCATATCAATTCAGATGAAATCTCAATCCATACACTAGATACAAATAACCCCCTGTCAAATCTGTCTAGCATTGCTTAGTCCGTACCATTATGGTACACTGTGTTGATGCATTTCAAGGGTAACTCCTCCTCTTCAGAGATACGTGACCTCTGGCTCTGATATTGATTTTAAAGAAGTTCTCATGCAAAAACAATAAATACATTTAAAAAAATGCTTTGATCCCCTGTAAAAATTAATACCAGACTTAATTTGACCAGGAAAGGGGGGGATCTAGCATGAGCCCCTTTCCTGACCCCTACCAGGCCACATGCCTCAACATGGTGTAGTACCTCGCTAGGGGGGAACCCCCGGCAAATAACCTTGTCCCATGTGGCCATGAGGACATGTCCCATGTGGCCTCTTCCCCAAAACCCAGGCCTGTTGGTTGTGGAGGTTTCTGGGTGGGAGGGGGGCTTGTTGAAACCTGAAAGCCCCTTTAACAGTAAGGGGGCACTCAGATAATGTGTAGCCTTGAAATAGGACACCCAAATGTTAGACAAATCTTTTTTTTTCAAAGAAAAATCCCCAAAAAAGACCCCTATTGTAAATTGACTATCAATCATGTAATGCAGGGATGCAGATCTACGTCAATCACAATGACCAATGGGTGACAATGCACTGAAAGGAAAAACCTGCTGCCGCCAAGACACATCCTACACATTGCCTTGTCACCCATCAAATGGAGAGTTTAGTGGATGACAGTTGTTTTATACAAGGGGGCATGGTCTCCCCAGTGATTTTATTGACCATATATGGACATGAAGAAGAGGAATACAGAAGAAATGAAATAAAAAAAACAACACTCCAATCTTCTCTCAGGAATATAAGGGGGAAAGATCGAGCGTCTTTCAGAACTGCCAGGTACAATATTATTCTAGTCAATGTTATCATAAATGTTTTTCATTCTTATCAACCCATAAAGCTGCATCACCTGGCATAAAAAAGGGTATCCAACCTACCTGCAATCTGTAGCCATGTAAGATAGACATCTTTTATCTTCTGCAAGCTTCTGCTTAGCCTTTTATTAGCGGCACAGTGATAAGCTCATTTTTCTGTTACTCTGCGTCCTCTTTCTTTCAGCATGCTTGTACCACTTCTTCCTCACACACCAGCCCTGCTACGCAGAGGTAGAGAGAGGTTAATACTAGGCCAAAATCATATACTTACACTGCTTGCATGTAAAAATAGGTTTACAGATGTATTCATGATTACAGAGCTGCATTCATTTGTGTCTTTTATACAGTATATACCTAGAGTTTAGCTTTAATAGTCAATTAGTCAAAATAATAATTATTAGGCCTCTTTCACATGGGCACTGTGACCTGTACAGCATTAATAGGGCATTTGCTTATGTGGCTGGAGCCCCCTGGAGCTGCATGTTAGCAGCCTATGAATACAGCCCCTCATCCTAATTTGTCAGAAATGCTAGAGTGTGAGAGCTGCCATAAACTCAATGTGCACTCAGGGCCAGCCACATAAAAACGGTCCATTCACTTCTGTATGGGCTACAGCACCTGGGTGAATGAAGCCTAATAATGATTTGGTACATATTCCCCAGGGCACTGACCAGCACCCCATGCCTTTTTTTGACAATCCCTTCACTATCAACCTAGAAAGTTCAATTACTGTTATTTTTGACATTTGGCTCTATTGACCTCAATTGGGTTTGGATTTGGAACCCGAATTTTCGTAATGTTTGCTGAACCTGGCTTGAACCAAATCCAGATACATTCTACTAGTCACTAGCAGTGATTAAGTAAAAGCATTGATATATGTAGTTAAATGGAAATATGGACCTATAATGATGTTTACTCCTATATACCTCATTATTAATAAACCTTACTAAAAAGGAACGTTTAGCACACTCTTCCATAGTTTCATTCCTAAGAACACTGTTTGGACATTAACTGGAGTTCCCAGAACAGGGGTCATAAAACAGAAATGACCATTTGTTTAAAAGTCACAAAACCCAGCCCTGGAATTCTACCCGGAATGCCTTCTGAAAGTGCACCTGGATGATTGTGACATATCTTGGAAACAAGATTGATTTGTAAGGCTGTGGTGACAGTGGGATATCATAAATGGCAGCTGATGACCAGTATCGAAAGACTTGCTAGAAAATTTGTTGATGACAATGGTAGTGATGGCAGAGTCTTAAGATATTTTAAAAACTTTAAAGGGTGTGTCTCTACCTGTATGAGAAGGGGGGTGGTAAAGGGGTGGCATCAGAAAGAATCAGTACACAGCTTTTAGATCTCTCTCTGGGTTCAGACAATGGAACATAAGTATGTCTGTGTAACATAACTGCATTATTTCTTTTACTTTATCTGTAACTTTCTTTTTCTATAAACATTTCTCTCCATGGGTAACATTATTAGCCATAACAGTATTTCTAGCAGTTTCATTTTAAATACATGTAGTGCTTAACCCCTAAGTATCCACTGTTTCTTGGGTCCCCTATTCCTGTGGCCATAACTCTGCAAATAGCACCATGCACTCTGACACACCTGGCTGGGTGGGGAATATTTATAGCAGATGTATATGCAGAACCATGGTGGCAAAACAGATATTAACAACAGTAATAACACAGCAGACAGTTAAGCTGGCCATACATGGGTACGTTAATTTTCGTTGAACCAGCCAGTTGAAGGAAAAAACTGACCCAATTTGCCCATGCACACATTTGATGTGGATGCAGGAATCCTCCCTGCTGTGTCATTGTATTCTGACAGTGGGGAAACTTCCATCAGAATACATAGATCAGAGCTGCAGCCTATTGCCTGCGGTACTGATCGCACAAAAATAAACAATCAGAGTGGTTGAACCAAAGTCAACTTCTGTTTAACCAGTGGCCAGAGATGGTCTGCTGCTGAACCTACTGAATTTCAATCACTGTATGGCCAGCTTTAAACAATAGCAATACATATACTACAGAAATAAAAGAATTTGCATAGAGAACAGCCCCTCCTAAACCCTATACTGGGACAATCATAACTAAGGAGAGTTTTGACAATATCCCAGTTCAGCAGTCTGCAATATACCCACTTCCCTTTGCTGGCCAGTTTGTTGGGGCCCAACTCTTATGTCAGAGCACTCAGAATAATTTTTCTTCAACCACTGATAAAGGTACTGGCTTTATAATACATTTGTCAAAGTGTAGTGGGGTTTGGCCAGCAGCTTCTCGCCAACTCGTGTGGTAGCAGGTGATCTCCCTCTGTTTCCTGTTGGAAGCACAACTGGTCAGTGTCCGGGGTGTCCTTCCTCTTGATCAGGCAGCAGGCTCTGTCAGTATCCGTGGCTCTCTCCAATGTTCTAGGATATCTGGCAGTGCTCCTCTCTCCTTCTCAGGTGTGGTGGTGAATGATCTACTGGCATCCTGAAAACATTCAGTCTCTCTGAATGCCCTCCACACTCTTCTGCTCAGCCTGGGAACAACAACACTCCTATTCCTCTGCTCAGAGCTCCAAAGAATATGGGATATATAGTTTCTTAGCTCAGTCTTCCAAGCCAGTTCATACTGTAAAGAACTTCACCTCCCACAATCCTCTGTTCCTCCCTGTGTTTCTAGCAGTCCACATCCTCTTCCTCTGTGTATTCCTATTGGGTAGAAGACTGGTTTTACATTGGTTGTACACAGTCCTGCAATAGCAGTTACTTATTAAAGCTGTGCCTGTGCATAGTCTCTGTTGCATATCAGACACAGTTCTCTTAACAGAAGAATTTGTTCATGTTATCACTCTGCAAGCACAAAAAAAGCAGCAGTAGACACAATGAAAACTGCAGCCACTTTTCTTTGCCAGCATTGTGGACCATATCTACATACACATCTTCACACCGTAGCAATATTGATATGTCAAATTACTTTTATGAAGTTAGTGGCCAAAAAAAAACCACCAAAGCTGTTAAAAAAATAAAAACTCTTACAATTATGTACAGTATCTCACAGATTGTTTGGAGTTGTTATCATGTTGGAATACTGCCCTGTGGCCCAGTCTCCAAAGGGAGGGGATCATACTCTGCCTCAGTATGTTACAGTACATGTTGGCATTCATGCTTCCCTCAATGAATTGTAGCTCCCCAGTGCCAGTAGCACTCATGCAGCCCCAGACCATGACAGTCCCACCACCATGCTTGACTGTAGGCAAGACACACTTGTCTTTGTACTCCTCACCTAGTTGCCGCCACACATGCTTGACACCATCTGTACCAAATCAGTTTATCTTGGTCTCATTATACCACAGGACATGGTTCCAGTAATCCATGTCCTTAGTCTGCTTGTCTTCAGCAAACTGTTTGTGGGCTTTCTTGTGCATCATCTTTAGAAGAGGCTTCCTTCTGGGACGACAGCCATGCAGATCAATTTGATGCAGTGTGCGGTGTATGGTCTGAGCACTGACAGGCTGACCCCCCACCCCGTTCAACTTCTGCAGCAATGCTGGCAGCACTCATATGTCTATTTCCCAAAGACAACCTCTGGATATGACGCTGAGCACGTGCACTCAACTTCTTTGGTCGACCATGGCAAGGCCTGTTCTGAGTGGAATCTGTCCTGTTAAACCACTGTATGGTCTTGGCCACCATGCTGCAGCTCAGTTTCAGGGTCTTGGCAATCGTCTTATAGCCTAGGCCATATTTATGTAGAGCAACAATTCTCTTTTTCAGATCCTCAGAGAGGATTTGCCATGAGGTGCCATGTTGAACTTCCAGTGACCAGTATGAGAGAGTGAGAGTGATAATACCAAATTTAACACACCTGCTCCCCATTCACACCTGAGACCTTGTAACACTAACGAGTCACATGACACCAGGGAGGCAAAAAGGCTAATTGGGTCCATTTTGGACATTTTCACTTAGGGGTGTACTTTTGTTGCCAGCGGTTTAGACATTAATGGCTGTGTGTTGAGTTATTTTGAGGGGACAGCAAATTTACACTGTTATACAAGCTGTACACTCACTACTTTACATTGTAGCAAAGTGTCATTTCTTCACTGTTGTCACATGAAAAGATAGAATAAAATATTTACAAAAAAGTGAGGGGTGTACTCACTTCTGGGAGATACTGTATTCTGACATATTATGGAGCATCAGTTTTTCATTGCTTTCTGTGTTTCGTTTGGTAGATTTCCCCTTTCTCTCCTATGGTGACAACTTGTCATATCCTGGCAAACAGTATGTCTCATGGACAAGAAGTTAGGGACATTTTTTTGTAGGTAAGAGCTCTAAGGCTTTTATGCTTATCCTTACTTCAATACTTGGTTTGTCACTGAGCTGGAACAAACGTGCACATTAGCAGTTGCAACACCTAATAATAAAGTTTAATTGTATTTTGTGTGTTCAGAAAAAGTGCATTTACTCACTATCCCCAGACCTCCTGAGCAAAACTGCTCTGAGCCTAAGCTATGCTTTCTTCTTCCTCACCAACACTGGCAGCAACTGAGCTGAATCCTCATCTGCTTGTATGGGGTCATCTCCCAAGAGTCACAGGGACATGTAAATTATGATACTTGTGTTTAATGCATTGTGATTAGTATAATTTGAACTATTGCTTTACAAATCTGAAAGGAAAAGTTAGGTTTGACAACGCATGAGTGCTCACTAGCAAATTGCCCAAATACATTTTTTCTGGTCCAGAGTTTTTACTATATAAACTATATTTAAGATGTTACACTGATCAATTTCTAAAGTTAATAAAACCTCAATGATTGCCTATGTGTGACACATCTATATTAATGCCTTGTGAATGATTAATTGACTTATTAACAGTTGATAACCCTCACTTCACTGAAACAGAGTGTAATAGGTTCAAATCCCATCAGAGGTATCTTAGTTAATTCTGAATTATAATAGAATTTCAAAATGCATGCATGTCTACATTCATTATGAATAATTCAACTGCAGCAACAACTGAATTAATAATAAAGACATGCTGAAAATGTTAATGCCAGATCCTTTTTTAATGTGAAAAATAATAGGATTAATAAATCAAAATATCATTGTATATCTTTACATTTTGGTGACTGATGATGAAGCCATCACGCTATGAGTTACAAGTAGTTGTCTTGGCCATTGATATTTTATTTCATGCAGATGGGAAGGTCAGCTTTGGGAAGGAAAATAATCAGTGCCGGTTCACACAAGCCCACAGCTCAAAATGCTGCCTGAACAGCATTTAGAGCCCTGTGGTGGGAGAGGTGGGATGTGTTCTTTATCACACAACTCTCTTTTTTTTAAAAAACTGAACTTTATTTGAAGTTTACAAGGTGACACGTCATTCAGGTCATTACACAGCAGCTCGGTGCGCTATGCTTGCTGTGCAGTGACATGCAGGGCTATCCAGAGCAATGCGATATTATGCAAAAATGTTGCATAATATCACACAGCTCTGGAACACAGTGAAACACTGGTCTGAACATAACAGACAAAAAACTATTGTTTTCTGTGTGTCATTGCAGTTACCTGCATTTTTCCAAAAAAAACTGATTTTAGCACATAGTGTGTATGGGCCCTTAGGCATGTCGAAATGTGGGTGTGGTGAAATTGCGCTAATGGTGGAAGTGGCATAAACATGAGTGGACTCGTTGTCTACAAGGTAACATATGCAACAGTTCTCCTCCTATTACAAATTTCCTTTAATATAACACATACAAATACCTAACACAATCAGTGTCCACATGAACAGAACCAAAAGCGTAATAAAAACCAGAGGTATTATTATTATTATTATTATTCAGTATTTATAAAGCGCCAATAGTTCGCTCAGCGCTGTACATTACAAAGGGGGACAGAACATGTGACAGAACAATACCAATACAATGCAAAACATGAGGGGCTCGAGGGCCCTGCTCTTTCGAGCTTACAATCTAGGAGGGAGGGGATAGGGGCACAGGAGGAGATAGCTGTGGGGGATGGAGTGGTAGGAAGAGTGGAGGAGGTCGGCAAGTTAGCAGGGGGTGGGTAGGCTTCCCTGAAGAGATGGGTTTTTCAGGGTGTGCCTAAAGGAGAGGAGAGTAGGTGATAATCTGATGGGTTGGGGCAGGGAGTTTCAGAGGATGGGTGACACCCTGGAAAAGTCCTGGAGGCGGGAATGGGAGGAGGAGACCAGGGAACTAGAGAGAAGGAGGTCTTGTAAGGAGCGGAGTGTGCGTGCTGGGCGGTACTTGGATATTAGGTCAGTGATGTAGTTCGGGGCAGTATGGTGGACGGCTTTGTACGTCAGTGTTAGGATTTTGAATTTGATCCATTGCACAATCGGAAGCCAGTGGAGAGATTGGCAGAGGGGGGTGGCGGAAATGGAGCGATTGGAAAGGTGAATGAGTCTGGCAGCCGTATTCAGGATCGACTGAAGTGGGGATAACCAGCGGCGAGGCAGGCCAGTGAGGAGGGAGTTGCAGTAGTCGAGTCGTGATATGATGAGAGAGTGGATGAGCTGTTTAGTGGTTTCTGGGGTTAGGAACGAGCGTATTATGGCAATGTTGCAGAGGAGGAGTCTGCACGAGTTTGTTAAAGATTGGACTTGGGGCTGGAAGGTATGTCTATAGACACAAACAGTTCCCTACTAACACAAATAGAAACATGTCCACATAGACATAGTCAGTGTAGTAATGACCCACCAGAACCATGTGCAGAGACAGAATCAGTACTGAAATATGACAACAAATGCAGCATTGGTACCATACTGGCACACCAGAAATGTGTCCACAGAATAAGTATAATAAAAGACATACTATATTATAAATATACATATGCAGTACATTACACATATATTTAAATCTTTTAAAGCCATTTTCAACCTTACAGTGTTAAAAAAAAAACTTGTATGGCTCCAAATAAATATTTTTTTGATTAAATAAAATTAATATACATGTACATTACACACATTACATTTATATGAAATGTACATTACACATACTGTACATTACATTGAAAATACATATACCGTATTTGCCGGCGTATAAGACGACTGGGCGTATAAGACGACCCCCCTACTTTTCCTGCTAAAATGTAGTGTTTGGGCTATACTCGCCGTATAAGACTACCCCTCTTCCAATGCACACCAGTGGGAGGAATAGGGGCCCCATCATTGATGTCAGTGGGAGGAATAGTGCCCCATCATTGGTATCAGTGGGAGGAATAGTGCCCCATCATTGGTATCAGTGGGGGGAATAGGTGCCCCATCATTGGTATCAGTGGCAGGAATGGTGCCCCATCATTGGCATCAGTGGGAGGAATAGTGCCCCATCAGTTGGTATCAGTGGGGGGAATAGGTGCCCCATCATTGGTATCAGTGGCAGGAATAGTGCCCCATCATTGGTATCAGTGGGAGGAATGGTGTCCCATCATTGGTGTCAGTGAGGGGTGGAATAGTGCCCCATCATTGGTGTCAGTGGGGGGAGGAATAGTGCCCCATCGTTGGTGTCAGTGGGGGGGGGGGGAATAGTGCCCCATCGTTGGTGTCAGTGGGGGGGAGGAATAGTGCCCCATCGTTGGTGTCAGTGGGAGGAATAGTGCCCCATCGTTGGTATCAGTGGGAGGAATAGTGCCCCATCATTGGTATCAGTGACACCAATGATGGGGCACTATTCCTCCCACTGAGACTTGCTGACCCTGTTCTCGTATGGTGCTGCTGCAGCCAGCATATGTGGTTGCAGCAGCACCTCTACACAGAGCACTTACCTGCTGCTCCGGCACTCAATTTTCGCGGGGCCGCTCGGCTCCGCCCCCCTCGCCGGTGATTGGCCGCCTGTGTGCCTTTCCTGAGCTACAGTTCTGGCGGCCAATCACCGGTGAGGAGGCGGAGCCGCGCAGCCGCACGAACATCCAGTGGCCGAACTGAAGGACACGCCGCGCTTCCTGGACCGGATCGTTGTGGGACTGGATCCAGGTAAGAGACGTCAGCCCCTGCAAAACCCCTGTACTTAATGCCGCAGCCCCCCTAACATGTGTACCAGGCGTATAAGACGACCCCCCCGACTTTTGAGAAGATTTTCAAGGGTCAAAAAGTCGTCTTATACGCCGGCAAATACGGTACATCAATACATGGTGCTGCATGCTGTCTCTAGAGGGGCTCAGTGCAGAGATTGGAGCTTGCGTCCCAGAGAGCATGGAGAGAGCTAGTTTGAGGGCTGTGAGTGTAGAAAGAGCTAGTTTAAAATGCCCTATTATATTAGTAATACAAATGCCTTTTTAAACTAGCTGTTTCTGCACTCTTTGTGACTATAAGCTCCTAGTCTCTCTGGTGCTCTGGCCCATTATAGTATTACTAAATTTAATAAAATGGGCCAGAACCCAGAGAGAGTCAGGGCAGAAATTGGGAGCTTGCAGTGGAAAGAGCTAGAAAAGCCATTATTACATTTACTATAGGGCTAGTCTGTAGGGACTCATTGCAGAGACTTGGAGCTTGCAGTCCCAGAGAAGGTGGAAAAATCATTATTATTATTATTACTATTAGAGAAGAGCACAAGATTGCCTGGGTGGGTGTGCAGACAGGGGTCACTCTAACCCTCTTATGTATGTGTCTTTTTTAAAACTTTTCCAGAAGGGAGGATGTTTAATTTCTTTCCTGCCAGGATCTCTTAAATAGTGTGGATGGAGCTTAACACAGAGTGGAGAGAAGCATGAAGGTATACTGTCACACCATTTAGAACAGTTTACTGACAGAGGAGATGGTTATTTGATGGACTTTTAAGAGACCTATTATAATAAAATTGTGTTGGATCAAGCTTCTGGTTGATTCTTTTGACTGAAGTGGGACTCCAGTAACCCTGCTAGGAGAAATGGGATAGCACATTAT